GGCTGAAAGCAGCGCTCCGTCCATGTTCTGCCGATGGAGGTCGCTCACGTGTCGATGCGATGGGTCCAGAGCGGACGGCACTGCAAGTTCCGAGCCCGTGACCTGTGCAGGCGACGTCACCCTACAGTGTGGGGCTTGGCCCTGCGGGTCCCCACACCCTCCGGTCTGCATAAACGGGCTTGTTCACCCAGTCACTCGAGCGCATCACTGGCCCGAATCGGCACGGGGCGCGGTTGCGGCCCAGACCTCTCCACCCAGCTCTCCCCTGAGGAGCTTCACAGGAACGAGCATCAACTACAAAACCTCTGAGTCTAAACTTTAACAAAAACATCGCAACGTCATTAAGGGGTGAAAACAGCAGCACGTCTGAGATGCCGTGAGCGTGAAAGAAATGTGACTACATGTGTCTGTGAGCACGTGCACATGTGCGCAGATATGCGGTCTCGCGCCTGCTTAAAACATTCAATTTCGTATTTAAAAGGTTTCTCCAAATGTCTTCACACTCGACTGGACACACATCAGGGTTACGCACCATCTGTGGCTGCTCCTGCACTTTGCGGATCTCTCACAATCGTTCTTGATGTTGGTCTTTGGTGAAAACATAGCTGCACTGTGGAGAAAGGCTTAGGTCACTCCCGATGAGCGCCGGTCCAGGCACCTTAGGGGACTTCCCCGCGCACCTGAGGCCCACGCAGACCAGCCGAGGGAAGGGGAAACTGTCTACACTGGCTATTTCAATACTGGAAAATAAAAAGAATGTGGTTTTAAAACTCTGGAGAATACGGTGCTATTTACTTACAAATTGTGGCTTAAAAAATCTTAAAATCATTTTTGCAAAGATCACACAGTAAACTATCTATTGATCGAATTCTGAAATTTGTGTGAAAGATTTTTAAATCGATCAACCACTTACAGAGAAGGCCTCTTAAATTGAATACAAAATACGATTCTTATGACATTGTTTCCTTTTTGGAGAATAAATTTTTATAATGAAAATAGAAGCCAAATCCCACTCACAGACGTTATTTGAGACACCTGCTCAGGGACAGAGGTGACAGGTGCCGGGCAGGGACAATGAACTTAGTAAAACGCATACATTAAACCCTGGCGGTAGCTCGGCCACCACCCTGCATGCCGCTCCCCACGTAAACGCCAGCCCTGGGAGCTCAGCGCCCGCTGCAGACCGACCGGCTATGTCGCGTCCTGGCCGTGTGGTGCCGAGCTCAGGGACAGGTATGGGGACAGCCACGTCCCACCCTGCGCCTGCATCCAGCCCACGCAGCACAGAGCAACAGCACACTCGGCTTCGGACAGTGCCCGGCGTGGTCGCAACGAGCTGGGGCAGCGTCAGCCTGGTCCTGGGCCACCAGCTAGATCGTCTGCTGCAGGATCTCAAAGCCCCCGGGGGCTGACACGAGCCGGGGCCTGGTGAGCAGCACCACCAGCCCAGCGACGATCGGGGAAAAGTGTGCCACACGGAGGACCAAGGGCAGGGCCACCAGCAGGGACAGGCGGGGCACCTGAGAAGGAGCGAGGAGGCCACGGCACAGCAAGGCCGTCCTCCCCCCCACCATCCATCTCACACGCCTCAGGGACGCCACCACGCTGCATGTCCTGACCAGGTCACCCGCTTAAAATTTGAGCCTGTGACATCACTGCGTGCTTTTCCTGGGAAGCCCCAACTCCCAGGCTGGTGTCCAGGGCCCTCCGTGACCCGGGCCCCTCGCCCTGCGGACACCCACTCCGGGCTCCCACTCTGGGCTCCCACATAGGGCGCGTCAGCACAGTGCCCTGCGAGGCCAGGGTGGCTACAGGGGGACATGTGAGGGGAGCGTGGCAGGGGTAACGTCTGGGCGCGGGGCCCCCTGGGGCGTCCAGACAGCAGGGCCACTCTGCCAGTGTGGAGAACAAAGGGTCAAGACTCAAGGTGGGAGGAGGGTGGCAGCAGGTCGCATTTTATACAGAAAAGCCTAATTTGCTTCTCAGAAGTGTGGGGCTCCTGTACGACCAGGGACCATCCAGGCTTGGGTGCCCCCGACCCTTCCCAAGTGTCACAGAGCTTCCTGCCCCGTCTTCATCCCAGCAGGCCGAGCCCGGACAGCCAGTGCGGGGGACAGTGGGCTTCAGCAGCCCTGGTCAGGTCTCCGTGGCCATGCCCCTCACCCGCCCCCGCTGTCCCTCCCGCATGAGGTCACCTGTCGTTGTCACTGACCAGTCAAGGCCAAAGGGCGGATCAGAGGCCAGCACACAGGAAGCCCTCGATAAATGCCTGCTGCCGCCGCCTCCGCTGTGACTGACGTTCTGGGGTCCAGCGCGCACCTGCCTCCCCCCACGGGGCGCCCCTGGGCGGCCTGGGGCCT